GTAGGAGTGAGGGCTTCCTGTCATCTATGCCGAATGGTAGCCGTAACAGCGCAACCAGAAACTGCCAGATAGCGGAGACCTGAGCTAGCTGCATGGCATAGGGAAGGAGGGGCTGGAACAGAGGGCAGCACGGCCATGAGATGATTGCTGAGATGCCACCTAGAGGAAGTACGAGCCTTGGGCTTGTGGTCACCACATTAAGACTGTGACCTGCCTTTCGGAGGGGGTCATGCAAGCACTTTCCTCATTCTTGCACCAGGACGCTGGGAAAGACACGATGACCCTGCTTGCTAGGTGGGGAGGCTCCTGTGGGAGTCAAGTCCAGTGCCGAAGTTACAGAGTGACTAATGGGTGGAACAGACTCTGTGCTAAGGGGGACTAAGGGGACAATATCCCCAGCGGAGGCAGTATGTGTACTCCCAAGCCTCCAGGAGATGTTGAAACTCAGTATCAGAACCTAGGGAGAAAACCTAGGAAAACCTGGGATATTCCTAGTCATTCAGGCCCAGGATAAAGTTGAATTTATATAGCAGGCACAATAATGGATTAGCAACCAAACAGTAATACACTGTAATAAGCATTATTAAAAATATGTGAAATGTTTATTTCCATTTAATATTTTCAAACTGAATTTGACCACAGATTCTTGAAAACAAAGAAAGCACATTTTGTTTGTTTGTTTGAAACTGGGTCTCTTCTATTATGCAGCCCTGGCTGTCCTGGAACTTGCTCATGAAGCAGGCTGGCCTCAAATTCACAGAAACCCACCTTCCTCTGCCTGCCAAGTGCTGGGGTCAATGGCATGGGCTACCACTCCTGGCTTGCATTTGTGACTAACACACTAGGCCTTATCTCTACTCTCCTGACCCTTGCCCAGTCACAACAATGTAGCTCGTGGTCCTACCTCCTGTCCTTGTCAGAACAAATGTCCTTTGGGAATCGAATCTGTCTACTTCTGCACTGAGACTCTCCCAGTACACAGTGGGCCAGTCTGCAAGTCTGTGCTCTGGATTGGATAAAAGGCACCTCTAACCCAGTGCCTCAAGACATAGCCCACTGGGGATATAGTCACATGTGTCCACAAGGAGAGTATCTGTGTGCCCTGGGAGGGGAAAGGGACAAAGAGCAGAATTACTGTGGGCAGGCTGCTTTGACCTTCCAAGACTTAGAAAGACAGACATCTGACCCATGGTGAGCACAGGCAGTCTATGAACTTAGGCTGGAGATGGGTTAATTATCAAAAAAGGGTAGTGTGTCCATGATGCAGCAGTTTCTGGGCAGAAGGTTCCAGATCTTGCACACCTCCAGTGAGTTTATAGCTTTACCCTCCTCTGCCTGGGTAACCACCAGATGTTGACATAGCTCCTGTATCATCTGTTGTTCTGATGAGATTGCAGCCCCCACTTAAAACCATTCGTGGTGGGCTTCCCACAGACCTCCATAGCCCAGTCCTCCCCAGCTACAAGACCCTTCCTGGATAGGGCCCCATCACCTCTGCCCACCTTGGCCCACTTCCACACTCTCCCCCCTTGAGCCTGTCTCCCCTTCTTGTCATGGCTTTTGAATTGTCTGCTGCCAACTCCAAAAGTCCTGGGGCCAGGACTGACTGTCCAGAGCACCGGGCTCTGGTGTCTGCCAGAGCCTGAGGTGTCAAAGCCAGCAGGTGGCCTCTGTACCAGATAAGTGCAGATCGCAGAATGGATATGAGGTCTGAGAGCATCCCCATCCTCTCTAGGTGACTTCTGCTCCTGATTTCTTCATCTGTGTAGCGGGAGTAGGTGGAACTGCCTTCCAGGGCTACCGCGAGTCTCGTGTCTAAGGTGAACATACTTTGTTTCCTGGACGGTGAGTGCCAGTCCTAGGGTGGCATCCAAGGACATACCGGGATTGGTCTTCTCTGAAGTCTACCTCTGGACACCAGCAGCTTCTTATTTTCCATCAGCAATACCTACTTCTCCTGCCCTGGTGGACTTCCACCACCTGATTGAAGGCAGGCTTCCAGGAGACCAGAGGCCACTGTCCTGGCAGATGACAGATGATAGGAGGGCTTTGCAGCAGGGGGCAAGCCAGTGACCCTTGGAAGCCTTGGGTGGCTCCTGGAAAGGACTTACATAAGCTGCAAGGTAAATACCGATAGGCCTGGACCCCAGACCCGTGGGAGAATCTCTAAATGCTGGGGCAGGGCAGGTAGCGGGACTCCTATGCTTCCTGTACCCGGCTCTCACTGCTGTCCGTACGCTTGCTGCAGGAAACTCCCTGCAGGTATTTCTTCCATACACCTTCAGGTAAGTGTGTGCAACAGCAGCGTCACAGACTGGCTTTCTCTCCTGGGCCTGCCACCGGCCAGGAAATGTGAACATGGAAGGAAGGGACAAGTGTGTCTAACCTGCATCCCGTGGGCCGCATAAGTCCCAGGATAGCTATAAAGGTGACCCAACACTTTTGCAGGTGACATCATCATGCAATCTCAAAAGGCATCCCAGAGTGAACTATGACACATGCCCAGAAACTCCCAGTGGGGTTAGTAACATGCCAACTAGGGGACACAAGCGCTTTGATAGTCCCCAGAATCACAGGAGTCTACTAAGCCCTGCACAGGCAGTGTCTCTGCTCTGTGTGCACCCATAGACACCAGTCAACACTTGGGAAGCAAGGAGAGAGGGTACAGAGGCATCCCAGAGCCAGGTGTGCATCCTCTGCTCTCATGGTGGGTGCAGGACAAACCCTTGCGTCTCTCTCCTCTGAAAGCAGTCTCCCAAATGAAATTCACTGTCCTCTGGGGCAAGTGACAGGGGACCATTTGAAAAGAGAAGTTCCAGATGTCTAAGGGAGGCCAGATGAAAGTCTGTTCAAAAGTGATTCCTCTGGATATGTAGTTTAAAAAAAAAAACCAACAAGTTTTCTTTTCTTGAAACCGTAGGAGCTCCAAGAACCCCAACTATTGGTTGTCTGTGTTCTCTGTGTTCACAGCGACTCTGCTGGCCCCTTACAAACCTTAATTCTCTTTCCTAACCATTATTTCAAGATCATTGTAAATGCCTAGTAGAACTAGGTTTATGGCAGAACATTTCGAGAGAGAGAGAGAGAGAGAGAGAGAGAGAGAGAAAACACCCCTGCATGTGCTGCATGTGGACTCTGGTCCTTGGAGCTTGGGACCTGTTGTACACCAGGTAACTAAGATCTCTTTCCACTGGCCACCCTGGCCATCTGGTACCTAGAGAAAGTCCTTCAGATATGTAGCCCCGTGAGCAGCCTCCAGTCACCCTTGCTCACTGTTATAAACATGCCACCTAGCACAATGCTGCCACTGGTAGGACAATGGTTTAATGCTGTCCCTGCCTGTTCCCCAGGTCATTCAGGAAATCATATAGGCAGGTCACTTTGCAAGTTCTTTTAATGTTTCCATTTATTTATTGTATGTGGCAGAGTGGCTGGTGTGTGTGTGTGTGCATATGGAGGTCAGAGGACAACTTTCAGGAGTTGGTTCTTTTCTTCCACCATGTGGAAGGTTCAAATACAAGCCATCAGAATTAGTGGCAAGCACCTTTACCCACTCAGTCATCTCCAGGGTCCCAATTTTGCAAGCTTTGAAACATTTTACAAATGGCTATTTCCTGGCCAGCACGAGCAAGAAAAGGAGGGCTTGCCAGTAGACAAGTAGGGAATGTTCTGTGGGTGTCTGGAGGGTGGGGCAAAGTTCACCAAAGGTATGAGGCTAATCAGCAAGGGTGGGTTTAAAAGTTCCTGAATGTTACAGTTTAATCGGGTCGGGTCCCCAGTTCCCGAGTAAAGAGACTCGCGCTTAAAGTTTCCTTTCCCCAGTAGGTTCTCCAGGGCGCTCATGGCCACAAATAGCATAGTGGCAGGCGCAGCATGAGGACAGAGAGGAGGGCTGGCATAGCACACATTTCGTTCCCAAAGGAGCGGTATCCTGATGCGTTGGCACCCCGGGGGCCGTGTGCATTCCGTGAGCAGAGATCCAGGGAGGACGCAAACAAAGTGGCTGCGCTGGGCCGCAGCACCCCCCCCCCCCCTCCTCGGCGCTGGCAGTTGGCAGAACCCCAGCGCCTCAGCTGGATACAGTCAACCCCTCTATCCCCCAACGTACTCAGAGGGGGTGCAGCCCGGGGCGGGGCAGGGGCTAAGGGTTGGAGCGGCGGCGCCTCCTCGCCACCGTCCCCGATGTCCTTCACCCTCCTAGTTCCCCGCCCGCCACACCCACCCTGGCACCTCGGCCACCTGTTGCCGCGTGCCCCGGCTTGCTCTTCCTTTCCCCCCCATTTCTCATCCTGGTACCCTGAAAATCAGATCTTTCCTGCTCGCCACCCCTACGAACTCCCGGGACTCTGGGGTGCGCTCGGTGGCCTAAACCAGCTCACCGAGGGCACACGGCGGGAAAAGTTATACCCGACCCGCCACCTTGAACTTCAGTCCCGGTTGGTGTGAGGGGCTGGGAACTGTAGCGCGCGCGCTTCGGGGTGTACCCTTTCTGCAGGGCTTTCTCGTCCGTCGGGTGACCTTGAGCAGTCCCTACCCCTAACCAGCCTCAGCTTACTAACGGACACCGTGGCCCCCGGGCACCAAATGGGCGTCGGGAAGAGCTGCCCCGGGCCTCTTCGGCCCCGCCCTGCCCCTCAGCAGCCAATCGTGCGCTGCCGTCTAGGGGGTGTGTCTCGCCCTGAGCCGCGGCCCCGGGCCTAGGGGGCGGGGTTTCCGGGGCGGTCACCTCGCCGCGGGACCCCGCAGGGGACGTCCGAGGGGCGGTGCGTGTCGTGGGGGCGCGGCTGGCACGGGCTCACGGAGGCGGTGCCGGTCAGGGGCCCGGGACACGGCGGCCCCACGACAAGGGTGACGGGGGCGGAGGCAACCGCTTGCGCCCCGCCTGGCGCCGCCTCCCCTGGCGCGCTGCCCTCGCGGACCCGCAGGCGGAGCGCAGCCTCAGGTGCTCCGGGGCGGGAGGGCACGCGCGGGGGCGGGAGCCAGGCGTCCCCTGTCCCGGGACAGTGAAGTGGGTGGACAGGGATAGGAGGGGCTCAGTGGCGCATGCGCGCGGATCAGGGGCGCGGGTCTACAGGCACCGGCGAGGGCACAAGCTGGGAACGTGTGCGACTCTCGGGGCCTGCGGGACTGTCCGCTACTTCGGGTCCCCGCAAGTGCCAAGCGCCGGCCCCGAACTCTGTTCGCAGCTGGTAGTGGGGCTGGGGGCTTCGCGGAGTCCTTGAATTGGAGCGACGCTGGGTCCTCTGGTTGTCCCCTGGAGGGGAGGGCCCACGGGCGGAGACATCGGGGAGCGTCCTTCCCACGGCGCGGTGCATTTGGGCGTCACCCACCGGGGGGCGTTTCCTGAGACCCTCAGGGATCTCAGAGGCGAGGTAACCTGAGGACCGGACAGACTGATTCTGGGATCACTGAGCCCGGCTACTCCTGTGGATCTGGAGAAACGCGGGTGGGTTCCTGTCACCAGCAGCCGACCCTCTTTGAGCACCAGTTCCCACATTGCGTCCGACCGTAGTGGGGAGATGGGGGACAGGCCCCAGCAGTAGGGTAGAGTCTGGCAAAGCCATTCTATGTCTCTGCCTCTCCAGAGCCCAGTGCCACAGCGGGCCCTGTGTAGGGCAACTTAAGTCTCCTCAGCACCTCTCGCTGTTCGCTGCTCGGCCAGCCTGCTAGGGATAAAGGAAGCCTAGAGTGCCAGTGTGCTAATCTGGAGGGTGACTGCCCCAGTACCCGCTCCAACTATCCTGGAACAACTGCACCCCTCCTTTTCCCAAACTTTTTTTTTTTTTATTTAAAGGGAAGAGGGTGTTTCTCTGCAGTTAAGATTCTTTCTAAGAAAACATACAGTGTTATAATGTCTTATAGTCTTTTAGAGGCACTCTGTTGGAGTTGCTCACCCACCGCAAACCCAGCCCACTCCTTTCCCCTAAGGAAACCAGAACGGCCTCTCCCCTCCTAGCACTTCTTGGGGGAGGAACTCAGAACTTTCTTGAGCGACCCTGGAACACTGTAGTGGTTGCAGGCAGCAGGGTCACAGTGACTTTCCCAAGGTGGCGGAGAGTTGGGGGGGATCCAGAGAACATATTGTGACTGGTTCCTTCCTTAACGTCCTACAGCCAAGACTGAAGTTCAAGGCCCTATCTTCCCGGTGGAACTGACTTTTGTCGCAAGTCAAGCTCAGGAACAAGACGCTGTCATCACAGGTAAAAAGAGGACTCGTGGAGCTTCCAGACTGAAATATAAATTCTGTCTTTGGTTGCACTAGCAGGAGGCCGGGGGGTCGGGTAGATTATTTTATGATAAAATAGTAAATGCATTTTCAGGGTTTGGAAAGCCAGGCAAATGGATGGAACCATGTTTCATTTCTGAGTGTGTGTTCTCTGGGAACCTCAGTTCTTTACAGCAGGCTGCTTTGGTGCTTTTTAAAAAGAGGTGGCATTGCTTTAGAAATAGTCTAACTGACTGGTAAGGCTGGCCTGATGTCTTCTAGCTGTTTCCAGATAAATTTGACTACGTGGTCAGTGAGTTTCATCATCAGTCATGGCAGGGATGACCCCAAGAAACAGTCAGATGAATAGTCCTTAGCGGCCACATAAAAGTCCAGGGACATTGGGCCTGACGGTAAATGAAAGGCAGTAGAAAGCAAAGTGTTTCTTTTCCCGTATCTTAAACATGTATGGAAACACACCAGACTCCCAGTGCTTGTTAGCAGGGGAGGATCCTGTTATGTAGCCCATGCTAGCCTGGATCTTGCTGTGTAGCAGAGGCTATCCTTGAGTTTTTTATATTCCTGGTTCAATCTCCTAAGTACTGAAAGCTGAAGTCATTCTTTGTAACTTATGCTTGTCAAGCCTATTAATTAGAGAGTTCTAAAAATTGTGCACGTGTGTGTGTGGGTGTGGGTGTGTATGTGTTTAAAGGGTAGAAAGAGATGGGAGAAGAGAAAACATGTTTCTTCTACATAGACTTTTATAATGCTTTATTAGGTTGAGGAAAAATATTTTCATGTGAATAAAATGTATCTTTGCTTCATTTAAAGTGTCTGTATAATATCCCACTAGGCTTAGATACAGTATTTAGCCAATGCATATATAGATAAATGTGAGTATATAATTCATTTGATTCATGCTTACTGTGTAGCTGCTAGGGGCTCCTGTGTCATTCACGAACAAGACAGTCATGGACTTGCTCATGAAACTAATTTTCATGCCAGAATATAGGAAACAGCTGGAGTTGGAGCTCAGTTGGTATAGTGCTTGCCTAGTACACAATGTACCCTTGGTTTGATCCCACGCACTACATAAATCAGGTGTGGAGGGATGGCACATGCTTGTAATCCCAGCACTGAGGAGACAGAGGCAGGAGAATCAAAAATATATGATAAGTTTGAGGGTAGCCTGGGCCACATGGGACCTCGTCTCAAAAACAAATAAATAGACATGCTGGTGCATGTCTTTCATCCTCGTACTCAGGAGGCAAAGGCAGGAGGATCTCTGTGAGTTCAAGACCAGCTTGATCTACACAGTTTTAGAGCAGCCAGTGCTATGCAGTAAGACCCTCTCTTAAAAAATAAAATAAGCAAACAATAATAACAAAGCTAACAAACAGACAAGCAAAAAAGAAGTTTAAAACTATCCTCATAATGGTTAAAAGATGAAGAAACTGGAATGCAGTGAGAGAAGGGGTGTCTTAGCCGTTTGTGCCTAGGGACCCTTGTGCCCCCTTTTTAATGTTATGATCATTTGTGGTTTTATAATACTGTTTGAAAAGATTTTATTAAAACATCGTTTGAAATGTCTCTTTGACATAAATAGATTTTTATTACAACAAGTTCCCTTGCCCCTGTTTGCTCTTGCAGCCTCTGTGTGGGGTGTTGTTGTTGTTAGTGGCTGATGTTTGTCCTAGCTTTGTGGCATTGCAGCTAAGGTCGTGGCCAGTTGAATGTCTGCTTTTGGTGGCAAAAGGGAGAGGGTCTCTGTTTTTATTTCTGATTTTGGCAGTTTGATGGGCACTGTTTTAAAAATTTCAGTGGGCATGGTGGTGGTGCATGTTTTTAATCCTAGCACATGAGAGGCATTGGCAGATAGATCCCTGTGAGATCCACGGCCTGGTCTGCATAGTGAGTTTCAGGCTAACCAGGTCTACATAGAGAGACCCTGCCTCAAAAATAGATAGATAGATAGATAGATAGATAGATAGTGAGTTTCAGGCTAGCCAGGGCTACATAGAGAGACCCTGCCTCAAAAATAGATAGATAGATAGATAGATAGATAGATAGATAGATAGATAGTGAGTTTCAGGCTAGCCAGGGCTACATAGAGAAACCCTGCCTCAAAAATAGATAGATAGATAGATAGATAGATAGATAGATAGATAAGCTATAACTTCTGTGTATGGGACAAACATTTGTTGTGTCTGTGGCTTTAGACTTTTTAATGTTGCAGAATAAACTGGATCATCTAGGGTCATGGGCTTAGAGAAAATTAGGCAGAGAATTTAAATCTCCAACTTGGTGATAAGAGGACCTTTGTTATTGTTTTTGGGTTTTGTGAGGTTTCTGCTTTGGTTTTGGTTGTTGAACATCAAGTCCAGGGGTGCAGGTTCACAGCACATGCTGTACTGAGGGGTGCCCCCAGCTGCAGGTGGGTTTCAGTAGGAGCTTCCAAAAGAGAAACATGTGCTGTGTAACAGCTTGCTTCTCTGGGTGTCCAGCAGAAAGGAACACTGTGCATGTGGCATTCCAAGCTGTTCTATAGATTTATTTGTATTTACTTGTTCTTCAAAGATGTGTGTGTGTGTGTGTGTGTGTGTGTGTGTGTGTGTGTGTATACACGCTTTGTCTCTCCTGAGCTTTGTCAATGGCTGAGCGTCAAGGGGTGGTGACTGCGGTGTCCTGGAAGAGTCTGTGCATGTCACATGGTGAAGCCCTCGTTCTTGGGTGAAGTCTTCCTAGTTGAGCTGAGCTGGTTTGGGGTCTGCACAGCAGAAAGGAAAGGGCACTGGAGGGTGCATTGGAGACAGACCTGGATTTGGCGGGAAAGGTGTGATGTCATTCATTATGACATTTTGGGTCCCCGCCTCTCAGCTGCCACCTGCTAGGCCACAGACTTCTGTCCACCTCCCTATGCTGCAGCTTCTCAACAGAAAATGCAGTTCTCTAGATCACCTTGAAGAGCTGTGACACTGAGAAACAGCAGCCGAAACAACCGTGCCCATCTGAGTAGCCGTCAGGGCGGCTCAAGCTCTGGGCCACCTCTGTTGCTGACCTACCCTGAGCCATTTGTATCTGTCACAGCCTTTTGACCTCCCGGAGACTTTGAGAAAGAGATTTTCTCACTACCCTCCCATGCCCTCTCATCAGATTCCAGTTTGAAGCAGGTAAAGGAAAGGGCCGATGGCTCTAGCAGTAACTTAGAATGTGACAGACAAGTCCTGCATGTGCCCCCCCCAGTGTCTCTCCAGAGGTGTCCAGCCTAGGGCCAGCAGGCTGTGTGTGTCCCAGGATCACTGTGAATGTGACCCAGTGTGTAGATGATACGACGGTGCAGTGTCAAAAGTCAGATGCCTGTTAGACCAAACCATACTGAGGGACCTACTAAAAGGCAGCCTCCTGCATCATAGTGGGACTTATGTTTAGGTGTTGCCTGGCACCATGGTTCTGGAGAGTCTGCCGCTCCCACTGAGGCGGGGGTGGGGAGTAGGGGTAAGGTGTTGGACATGGAGGGCTGGGGGTTAGGATCTGTCCACTGTTCACCTGCTAGCACCATAGATTTTGTAGGAACTTGGAGAACCTCATTGAATTTGTAAATGATTGGCAGTAATGAGATCAGCAGGAACTCACTGCCCTATACCCTTGTAGAAGCATTCATGTGGAAGGACAGGTGTCTCTGAGCTGGCAAGTGCTACATCCTCGTCTCCACTGTGGGACACCTCTTGGTAGTTGGCAGCTCTCCTTATGGCCAGGATGTAGTTCCTGTGGCTGTGGAGTGAGATGTGGTAGTTGCTGTCAAAATATTGTGTTTGTAATTATCACTAGATTTGGGAACTACTCTATATGAAATACCTTTTTTTAACACTACAAAGCCTGAAGATATGTTTAAATAAAGTGTTATTTTTTTCTGCAAATCATGGACTCAAATACCTGACTGAGGAAGAAATGTGGTTCAAGTTCTGTAAATTGGGACATGGAGCATTCATTTTTAAATATATATATATATATGTGTGTGTGTGTGTGTGTGTGTGTGTGTGTGTGTGTGTGTTTTCCCTGAATGTATGTCTGTGCTTTATATGCATGCCTGCTGCCCGTGGAGGCTAGAAAAGAGCATTGGATCTCCTGGAACTAGAGTTACAGATGGTTGTGAGCTGCCATCAAACTCAAGTCCTCTGCAAGAGCAGCCACTGCTTTAACTACCAAATCACCTCCCAAGCTCTTCAATGTATGTATTTAATGGACTAAGGGTCTTGCACGGGATGTATATTCTTAGGAGAAATTGGAGACATTAAATGCTCCTGTAGGTGGCACACCACAGGCTGCTTTTATTCTGCTGGATTTTAAGAGATTTGGAAATAAAAAAAGGAGTGAGTGTCTCTAATTGGACCCACTTTCATGACACTTTCTGCTTGGAGAACACAAGGACGCCTTTAAAACAGCATCGCTCTGAGTCCTGAGAGTCAGGGCTGGAACACAGACTGGTTAATTGTCCCAAAGGTCACTGAAACTTGTGAACAATTCAAGATTAGGGTAGGTTCAAGAGTGAGGGGCCCCCTGGGCTCTTGACAGCCATTTGTAACTGAACAAGTCTGTGGTTGTGTGATAACTACTCTGAGGTGACAAGCAACAACTATCGGGGAGAGACCTAGTAATTAGGGGTGAACTGGTGGAAGTGCCCAATTCAAGACGTTAGCAGTCAGCTTTAGGTGAGCATTAGCGGTGAAACAAGATGGCCTGTAAAAAATACAAGATGAAATCACGCAGCAGGTGACAAATCTTAGTGCCCCAAAGCCATTGTTTCTGTGTTCCCTCCACGCTAAATGCAGATGGTTTTTTACTGGAATAAGTTTTAGCTGCGGTTTTCCAGGTGGCTTTTCTGATTGGTCAGAGTGATATCTTAATGGCTTGCCGATCCCAGAGCCCTGCTCTCCTCGTCTGGAATCACGAGCCGAGCCGCTCTGATGCATTCCAGGCTCCAGTCACAGACCAGCC